GGCTGGCAAATTCTGGGAGTTGAAGTCCACCCAAATTAAAGCTGCCAAGGTTGAGAAACACTGATCTAGGCACTGGGTCAGTACACTGACAGCTTCATTTGCACAGCCCGGGTTGAGATGTAGAGCTGGATATCACCAGCATACCAATGATACCAGACCCTGAACCAAAATATGACCTTACCCAGCAGCTTCATGTAGATGTTAAAAAGGAGAGAGGAGAACACTCAGCCCTGAGGCATTCCACAAGTGAGGGGCCACAAGCATGATCTCTCCCCTCCATCAACACCGACACCAACCTGAGATAGGAGGTGAACCACTGTAATGCAGTGCCTCCCACTCTTAACCCCTGCAGCCAGTCCAGAAGGATACCATAGTCACCAGTATTGAAAGCCGCTGAGAGATAAGAAGCACCAAGATGAATGCACTGCTCCCATCCTGGTGCTACCACAGGTCATCAACAAGGGGAACCGTTGCTGTCTCTGTACTATACCCCACTCTTGAAACCCGCAGAAATGGTTCCAGTTAATCCAAAACTTGGAGACTTCTTCAGAGTTCTTTTAAATAGGAGGCATTCTGAGTAGCTTAGAGAAAAAGTAGTTCATTTATCTATTTATTTATTTATTTTTAAATTAGCACTCTTTTCCCACAATGATTATTCTACAAGCATCTGCAGAGCGCATGTTTTCTTTTGGTGATTTAACTGCATCTATTTGAATTTTTTGTTTGTTTATCTGAATATTTGGGAGAGAATAAGTAATACATTAAAGACTTCAACAACTGAAAACCATTCTTCTCCCAGGCCTCATGGCATTTGTTTTATTGGTGTGTATATGTTTGTGTAAAGTGAGAGAAGGTAGGAGATTCCCTCTGCCAGACCTTTCCCCAAAATTCTGTTTAAGGGCTCAAAAGTACTTTGCTGTTCATTATTATATTATTAAATTATGGATTTAATGCTCTTCTATAACATAGAAGTTTTATGTTTCTATATTATATTACTGTATTTATAGTTATATACATATGCCAATTTTATATTTTATTTTGCTATTTGCTGGTCATTGACTAAAACAAAGCTTCTCTCATTATTACCAGTTGGTTTTTCGAGCCAGGACTTTAAACATTACAAAGATGCAGAGGTATATTTATAATAGGATCTTGGAAATCTATGTAACTTTAGGAACAGTTGTATTGGCTTGTTTGTCTAATACAGGAATGATAGGTATGTATTAGCAAGTGTCTTATTCCTGCTTATTCCCTGAACAGATAGGAAAGCAACATACAGCGGTACCTCTACTTATGAACTTAATCCGTTCTGTGACTCTGATCGCAAGTCGGGTTGGTCGCAAGTCGAAGTAAATTTTCCCATAAGGTTCAATGTAATTACCATTAATCCGTTCCGGCGTCCGCGGACCACACGTCTGGCAGAAAAACGGCCGCTGACCACGTGGAACGGGCGGGAAAATGGCTGCGGACCACGTGGAATGGGCGGGAAAATGGCTGCGGACCACGTGGAATGGGCGGAAAATGGCTGCGGACCACGTGGAACGGGCGGGAAAATGGCCACGGACCACGTGGAGCGGGCGGAAAAATGGCCATGGACCACGTGGAACGGGCAGAAAATGGCTCGTAAGTCAAGGTGAATCCGTAAGTAGAGGTAAATTTTTGGGGCCGGAGCTGATCGTATCTCAAAAATTTCGTAAGTAAGGGCATTCGTAAGTAGAGGTACCACTGTAACTGTAACTGTTATTTGTAATACATACAAACTGAAAACTAGGACAAATTACCTCCAAACTAGCTGGGATTCATAAGCCAACTTTAAATCACAGTTAAACATTTAAACAAGGATTTCTAGCTTTTCATGATAGGCAAAGTAAGCTCTTGCCTTAAAAGCAGAAATATTAATTATGCTGGATTCATTGATAGTGTATACTGTGATATATATATATGTATGTATGTACGTATGCATGCATGTATTTTGCAGCATGAGCAGGCTTCTGTTCAGATGTTTGAACACTTGATCACCTCCAATGAGCTAAGACCAGTCATGGAATATTATGGTCTCAAGTTGGATGAGGACATAGATTTTATCAAAGAACAGATAGAAGGTCCTATTATGGAGAAAAGTGTGGACTCCAAGGTGAGTTTCATTTTTCATATCCCTGGATCTTATCTAAATGTTGTGCCGTTCACTAGAGTGAACCAGGATCAAAAGAGGAAAGGGGCAAAAGGCAAAGGTCATTACTTTTTGCTGACTGTTAGTTACTTATTCAAATATGTAAGGTGTAGGAGTTCAACAGCAGAGCAAACCCTTGCATGCAGGGTTTAGTCCCAGGCTTAGTTCTGAGATTTCTGAAGGTGGAAGATGTTGCTTACTGAGATGCTGAGAGGCATAATTAGGTTGGATGAATAAATGATTTTTTTTCAATCCTGTGCAAATCAAAAATAAGTATTATGTTAAACATTGCTGGAAGAATAAAAACTGACCTCAAAATGAGGGAGGACTTCTAGGAAAAAAGACAGATTTTGAAATGTTCATACAGAATCACAACCACCTACTAGGGTGCATATATAAACTCTTACTTAGATATGACATGGAGACAGAACAAATAAAACATTGCATGATAAAATGGATGCAAAACTTTAAAGAAACAGATACAGTACAACAAAGGGAAGAATTATGGAATAAATCTATAACATTTACTGCAAATTATAACTTAAAACTGGTATAAAATGTTTTATAGATGGTATGCAACTCTAACAATAATTGTCAAGATAGACAAATCATATAGTAATAAATGTTGGAAATGCCATGAGATACAAGAAACATTTTACTGCATGTGGTTGACATGTAAAAAACCCTCAAAAGTACTGGAAAGAAATACATAAAGTGCATGTGTATGAGAATAGCCACCTTGCTTGCAACTGTGGTCAGCGCCTTTTAAAGGACACTAAGTTCACAAACTTCCTTTTCTAATCACTTTCGGAAATTGTTTGTTAACTACTTTTAAGCTATTAGAGACCTTTGGATTGACGAGTCTGAAAATGTCAGGTGAATTTTCCTTCAATCCTTCAATCCTTAATTAAGAAGATTTTAATCATAAGTTTAAGAACTTAAAAATTTTGAAATAAATAGCAAAAAACCAAATTAAGACTTCGATCCTAGAAAGTTATAAATGGATTAAGGGTCCAGGTAAATTTGGAATAAGATTTTGGATTAATTATAAAGAAGCCTTCCCATAGGAAATAGATTTGCTTGGACTTTTGCAAGACAAAATAAACATAAGCACTTTTAAAAATTGGACATTAGAGGGAACTACAGATTTTAATTAAAAGAGAAAAATATACAAACCTGATAATTAACTGGGACGTATAAAATGGCAGAAAATGTAACTCTGAAAATACTGAAGGACGCTTTTCAAAAATGAAATCAGAAGTTAGTATCAACAGTATCAATAGTGATATTTGCTTCTGTGAATAAACTGTCGAAAAGATATTATGGAAGAAATTGCAGATGAGGAACAAGTTTTATTTGACAAGACAGAGATAGCATCAAAAGTGGATCTACAAATGACAGTACGAGAATGACATGGAAAAGTTTGTCTCGCTGGACATACAAAAGAAACTGGTTGATGTTTTAAAAATCAAAAGGGAAATACAAATAATAAACCAAGAGAATGACCTGGGTAATTTTTTTATATTGGATTTACGGAAGAGGCTTGTTAAAGCTTTGAAGAATCTTGTGGAAGGGACAAAGAAGAAATGAAAAGAAATCAAATTCTACAACATTATTTGAACTAAAGATTAAGACTGTTAGAAGTAAAAGGAAGGAGTATAAAGTTAGTTTATTTGACCAAGGTTAAAATAAGATATGTTATTTCTGGTAACTCTTGATGGACTTTCTGCGGACACTAGGACTGAAAAGATGATGCTTTATGGATTTGTCTATAAACAAGATGGGATCTGGGATGAAGAGATCATTGGTTGTAAACTAAGAGAGGGTGAGGAGTTACAAAAATAGTTTATACTTGCGATGAAGGTCGGAAGTCACCTTATATATTTTCTCTCTCTTTACTATATTCTTACTTTTCTTTTTTTCCTTTCTATTTTCTGTTTTTCTTCACTCTTTCTATTTTTTCTTTTAGTTTGTATTAGATTTTACTATTGTAATTAAAATCCTTAATAAAAGTATATATATATAAAAGAAATACACAGCACTACTCAGAGAATGTTAGGAGCCAAATTTGAAATGAAACCACAATTGTTTTTACTAGGCATAATTCCAAAAAATATTAACAAAAATATCACAATCCACTAAGGTACATATTTACAGCAGCAAGAATAAATTTAGCACAACATTAGAAAAGAGATACGTTACCAAATATATCAAATTGGGAACTTAAACTTGGAGAATATGCAGTAATGGAAAAATTAAAAGCATATATTCACAACAGAGCCAGTTTGATGTAATAGTTAAAGCACCAGGCTAGAAACCAGGAGACGAATGGTAGTAGGTCGAGAACTACTGTACCCGTAATAACATCTAAATATAGCTTTATATAGTTCTTATTAGTAATTGTAAGGCTGAAGTCAAAAAAGATGTTTGAAATTGGATGCTATAATAAATAAAGTGTAAAAGGTAGAGCTCTACATTCAAATGTTTATTTCTTTGGAATAATAGCCCCACTTGTAATTATTCTAGGTAATAAACAAAAAAAATCTTGATCTGCTTAATTTCTGATTACAAATAAAAAGAAATAGATTTTAAACATTAGCTAGCTTTTTAAAATCCTTCATTATTAAAATACTGATTATAAGAATTAATCTGCAGCATTTGCAAAACTTCGGAAAGTCACTGCTTAAAAATCTTGGTTTGATTCTAACTTGTTTTCACCATGAAATAGATAAAATATTGATTACAAGACAGTATTTTCTCACATCTTTGTCCTTCTAATCCAGTGGTTTTACCGTGGTCGTTCCAAAGAAAAGAGTTTTCTTTACGAGATAGTGACTAACAAAACAAGTGGCATTGATGTTGATAAATGGGACTACTTTGCCAGGTATGGAAACTTTACTGTCTATTTGCAGGACTTGAAAACATTTTTATAAGCAGTATTGGAAAAGTTTTGCCTACAAAGCCTTCCAACAAACTGAAATTTATCCATTTCTAAAAGAACAGGAATTTATCTTTCTTTGCAGCTAGGCTCCTTGAATTGTATAAATGATTTTAACTTTTTATGGTTTTTGAATTATGTTCTATTTTAGATTGTTAGTCATCTTGATGAAAAGGCAGGAATACATAGAAATAATAAAACAAAGAATGTAATGTAGTACCCCCTCAGAGGATACCAAAACGTATTTATATATATCCAGAGTAGGTAAGAAATGGGCTAGATCTTAGCTCAGTTTTTCCTCAAAATATATCATGTTATTTTAATAAATAAATGAAGAAGGAATTAAGGTATTAATTGGATCACCTTGGCTTTTTGATAAGCCATAGGTTGGTACCAAATTTAGTTCTGTGTAAAGTAGGCTGATATCAATACAAATGCTCATTTTCAATTATTTTCACTCCACCTCTACAATATCTTGGCCAGTAGCACAATCCCTATTGACTCTCCAGAATAGTATATCAGAGCTGTAGAGGAAGCTGAATAAAAATAAACACCCCCACTCAGTCCACATGAGATGGTTCTCTGAGTGAAATGGTACTTGTGGGTCTCTAATTCATAGTATAGAAAAATACTATGAATTAGAGTATTCCAATTCATAAAAAATGTTCTCAAGAACCAAGCTCAGAGAACCCCAAGGACTCCACAGTTCAGCCCTGAGCTACACATATTCGCCTCTATTGATAGAAAAATATGGTGGAAAATGAGAAAGAATGCTGGTAGGACAATAGCAATGACTTTAAAATTAAGTGTGTGTGTGTGTGTGTGTGTTGCTTTATAATTGAAATTACAACGTTTATGAATTGCTTAATGTCATGGAAAATTGTATGCTTAGGAAAATCAAATAAGTGAACATTAGAAATGTCAATTTCTTTAGTTTTTTTAGAAAGTTGAAATATATTACTAACCTGCTTCACATTCATTGTCCATCTTGGTCTAGTAAATTTTGCTACTTTACTACTTTCCATAAATAATCTTTTAAATCAGTATGTTAATTTTATGTGTTCAATAATATATGATTGATTAAATCATATAATTAATATATGTATTTAATAGTATTGTAATAATGAATATTATTCATGATTATTCTCATGAATAATAGTATTCATGAGAAAAATATAAAATCCAAACTAAACTTCAACAAATTAAAAATAGAATGATCCTATCTGTGTCTTTGGAATATGCTTAGGGATTGTCATCATCTTGGAATTCAAAACAATTTTGATTATGAGCGCTTCATTAAATTTGCTCGTGTGTGCCGAGTGGGAAAAATGATGCATATCTGTACCCGTGACAAGGTAAATTCCCTTGAACAGATTAGTGTATTTCACAAAAGTATCAGTTATCCAAAATGCACTACAGGGATAAGAGACGATTACATTTCTCATGTAGGAGAATACAGAGTTTCAGAAGCAGATCTCTTAGTCTAAATTCTGACTTCCAAAGATTAAAAAGCTAACTCTTTAATTTACAAAAGTGAGTGAGTGTATTGAATGGTGAAAGGGTGGTATTGAAAGCCTTAAATAATAACAGCTAAAGAGGAGAATAGTAAAAATCAAGGCAAGAAGCTACATGTAATCTTTTAACTTGTGCAGATATAGTGCCCTGCTCATCACCACTAAAGCACAAATAAGGATGAGAAGTGTCCCCGTGACATCCTTCATTTCACCCGCGTTTCCCTTGGAAGGGAAAAGAAGGTCTAGGCTTTTAGGGAGAAATGGGGTTCCTTCAGGGCCCTTCAGATGGGCTGTGCTGGCTATTTTAGCCATGTGCTGTCACTTTAAATGCAACAGTCAATGTGTTCCTGTGTTCAAGAGCAGTTTTTTAAAAAAACATTATTACCACTTAGAAGAAGAAACAAGCATTCAGTATGAGGAACCATAGTAAAATCAATACATTAAGGTTGCAATCGTAAACACGCTTAGCTGGGAGTGATCTTCTTTAGACTTAGTGAGTCTTGCTTATGAGAAGGCATAAATAGGATGACCTATAAAGACTCTTGACATATAGCATTACTACATAGTAAATATTTTATTCATAATAAATGTTCCAGAAATATCTCCTATTTCTTCAGAAATGTCATTAGAGTTAACTTCTGGGTATCTACTTGATACAAGCATTTGGGGAGAATATCTCGTATATCCCTGACCATGAAAGTTAGAGATTCGGAGATTTTGCCAATGGACCATTTTGTGAATGAGTTGGCTAATGCTGTTCTCAATGCTGTATTGTTTTGCACCTATAGTTTTAATAACAAAGATAAATTTCATTTTTTATATTGAAAAGGAGGTTGGAAATTTGTATGACATGTTCCACACACGAAACTGTCTGCACCGCAGAGCTTATCAGCACAAAGTTGGCAACATTATTGAAACCATGTGAGTTTGGAAGGATCTACTCTGGCGGGGTTGCTGATTAAATCAATCCTTATAGTAAAAAATGATATGCATTTCAATAGTCTTAAATCTGTATACTTTTGCGTTGAATAAGATTTTTTTGAAGAAGTGATGAGGGAGGGAAATGCTGCTTCTGCAGTAAGGCTTGATGGTTAGCCCTGTACTTTTTACAAATATTAGTTCTTCAAAAAAGATGTGTGCTGTTGATATACTTAGAAGTGCCTTTGATCTCTCAAAAGATTTTTAATAAATTAATAGTAACAAATGTAGCTCTTTTTCTCTGCTAATATAGCTGAGATGAATGAACACTTTTCTTTCTCCCTTAATCATTGTTCAAAGTAGGTTTGATTGAAGGAGGTAAACGTTCTTTACATTTAAGTATAGTTAAACCTATAGTTTTTGGAAAAATAGTTTCTAATCTGATATCGCCAATTTGTATCATCTATTTCATATTAGGATTACTGATGCCTTTTTAAAGGCTGATCCACATATCAAAATAAAGGGCTCTGGTGGAAAACTGTACCGGATCTCTACAGCACTGGAAGACATGGAAGCCTACACCAAGCTGACAGGTGAATGTGTGGGTAATGCAGAAATCCTTATCACACTAAGAACTGTTTCTCTCAGGGTTTCAGTTGTGTCACAAGGTGCTATAATACTGCAGCAGTGCTTCCACTGAAACTGAAAATCCTTTCAAAACTGGGTACTTCTGCAGACTTCCACTGTTCTGGAGGGTCCTCCAATTATCTAGTCCATAGTTTGGAAGTGTATGTGGGATTGGAGGACAGGGGAAAAGATCTCACTCTATTGTTCTCCCATTTTGTCAGTGAGATTCTTCAGTTGGATCAAAAGTCTTTCATGGATAAAATTAATATTTCTGTTTGTGGGAGGTTACTGGTTGCCATTTTAGATTTGGAAAATGATGTTTTACATTTTTCCTGTATGTGCAAGAACATTTATAGCTAGCTTTGATAATTACTTGGACTTCCAGGGGAGGCATGGCAAACTGAAGATGTCTCCATAAAAGCGGAGCTGATGACTGTGGCAAAGATTGAAGAACCAGTGAATAAACTGGTTCTTCAGAACCTCTCCAGAAAAGGAGAGGACAGGAGATCACCCACATGTGCTCCCAATGGCTGCTTCTCACAAGAAGACCACAGGATGGCAGTCTTTCGGGGGTTTGAGTGCCTGGAGACAACGGGATTAGCCATCTTGCTTGCAACTGCGGCAGAACCTTTTAAAGGACACTAAGTTTGCAAGCCTCACTTTGTAATTACTTTCAGAAATTATTAATCATCTTAAAGTTATTAGAGACCGTTGGAATGACAAGTTTGAAAAGTTGCTGGGTGAGTTTAGCTTCAACTCTGAACAAAGGGAAAAATTAATTATAAGCTTAAGAACTTAAAGAATTTGAAATAAACAGCAAAAAGCTAAATAAGATTGGAATGACAAGTTTGAAAAGTTGCTGGGTGAGTTTAGCTTCAACTCTGAACAAAGGGAAAAATTAATTATAAGCTTAAGAACTTAAAGAATTTGAAATAAACAGCAAAAAGCTAAATAAGATTGGAATGACAAGTTTGAAAAGTTGCTGGGTGAGTTTAGCTTCAACTCTGAACAAAGGGAAAAATTAATTATAAGCTTAAGAACTTAAAGAATTTGAAATAAACAGCAAAAAGCTAAATAAGATCTTGATCTAAGAAAGTTATAAATGTATAAAGGGTCCAGTTAAATTTGGAATATTGACTTTTACTGCAAGATTTTGGAATTAACTATAAAAAATAAATAGCCTTTCATGGGAACCAGATTTATTTTGGCTATCTTAGGTTATTGTAGGTCATAACAAAGATAAGTGACTGTATGATTTTAGAAACTGGACACTAGAGAGGACTAATGATTCTAAGTAGAAGGGAGAAAAAATAGTAGCTACAAGATCAACAGTGTCAGTAATGATGTGTGACTCTATAGATAGATTATGTCCAAAAGATGTTAATGAGGGAATGACATATGTGGAGCAAATTTTGTCTGACAAGACAGAGAACGTACTGAAAGTGGAATTACAGATGACAGGCCAAGAGAATGATTTGGAAAAGGTCACTTTATTGGATGTACAAAAGGAACTAGCTGAAGTTTTAAAAATTAAAGGGGAAATACAAATGACAAACCAAGAGAATGACCTGGAAA